AATAATTGGAAAGTCATGAAAACTAGACAACAAAATCACAAAAAGGCTGGATTTTTCTCACATCGATGGTCAACGAGTCCTTAAATTAAAAAGTCTGAAGCTAAATTTGTGACCAGATGCAAACTATGTGTTTGTTTACCAACGAAAACAGCAAAAGTGACTGAAAAGAGGTCAAAAGTTAAACTTTGTTTACGCAAAGACTCTAAAATCAGCTTATTGTAGGTCAATCTAGTGATTCAAGCTTCCCCAAAGTTTTCAATTAATCCAGTTTGTTTACATTGAGCGCAAACCCGCATTTCAGAATTGCATTCTGGAAACCTTCTGGAGACAACGCAACCTGCACCATTCGATACAGCGCAGGGTCACATTTAAATGTTTGATCTTTAGATTTCAAAATGATTAGCTTTAATAAAAAGTTAGAAACAGTGTTTTTTTTTTTTTTAAATACTCTAAACTCTACGTATATTGTTTGAGCTCCTACCATATCTTGTAGTTTGACGCCGTCTACTTCAGTGTGAAACGCCTGCTCAGGGATCAGGTCGTCATACGGAACCACTGCTGCTCTCCATCCGAGCTCCGCGGCGGTTCCGACTATCCGGCGGGCCAGGGTGGACTTCCCGGCGGCTGGCAGCCCGCAGAGCACGCACAGACAGGCCGGAGCCCTGACGAGCCTCCGGGGCCCCGCTGCTTCTGCCATTTTCTGTCAAAAAGCCGCTTATAGCTCAGTTTATTATTATTTACATGTTGCTACACCTTCGGTTTATTTCATGCGACAAACTTCCGGGTCGTCATAAATCACGTGATTTCCTGAAACAAGATTTTCAAAATAAACTCCCGGAAAAAAAGTAACGAATCGTTTGTAATTATAAGACGAATTTAGTGGGGATCTGGTCAGTTTTCAGCACATTTAGACGAGATAAATTAAGAGGTAAAATGTTCAATTTTAAAGATTTACAGCATAACTTACCATTTTACTTTTAAGTTCCCCTATAATATGTAATCTTTCTAAATTGTTTCAATTTACTCTAATAATTTGTTCTGACCATTTTTTCCTCCCTCCAACTTTTTTCAAAATGTATATAAATGTAACTAAAAAAAACAAAGTAAAAAAGGTAGAATTTTCCCAATAAAACAAATGGCTCTAATTTGATCTGTACGTTAACCCACACAGCAACAGGCAGACGATGTATTTAAAAAAATAATTTTTTATTTGTGCTCATTTCTGCATCAAATCTGTCCATGGTGTGACAAAATAGTGTGACTTATGCATTTAAATCAACAAGAATTTTTTATTACATTTGATTTGACAATAATGCAATGTCAACACTCATAAGGAACACGTTCAAAAATACTTAGAAAAGGTGTCATAAAATACATAAGTATTTTAAATTTGTCAATTTGAATATAAATTTTCAAAAAGTCCTAAGGACCCCCCCTCCCCCAAACACATAATCAAATAAACATTAACCACCACATCCACCAGCATAAGTCAACAGCCCACTTAAGTGCTTATAAGTTACAGTGAGCGCCATTATAGTGAGTGTTTTATAAGTCTCCTTTACTATACACACACACACACACACACACACACACACACACACACACACACACTAACACATGCAGTTGACTATTGCCACTTCATGCCTAACCCTAACCTAAACTAAATTTCCACCTTAGCATCAACTCTAATACAAAAATGACGCCCCACAATATTAGGACCAGGCTTCGGTCTTCATAAGGGCTAATGGTCTTTGACAAGGTGGATGACTTTACCAGTAAAAGTTCTACAAATGTAAAAATCTCAGGTAAAGAGACACAGACACAAACACACACGTACAACAGGACTATAAAAAGAGCATCAGGTTGATACTTCTTTAGCAGGGATTGGTTTTGGCACTCCTGGGCCCTGAACAGGACGTGGCGGTCGAGCAGGTGGTTCATTTTTTTCTAAATTCCAATAGTCCAGTTCTCCATATCTGAAACTGTCAGAAAATATTAAAAGTCAGTGAAAGCGAAACACCAATTTAAAACGTTAACTTTAAGGCTTATGTCATTCTAATGAAAATATGCATTTACTGAAATGTTCATACCCAGAAATTGGAACTGAGGTAGCTGGTGGATTTGGAGGCTGGAGATGGAAAAAGAAGCCAATCAGAAATTAAAGATATACTGGAAACTTTAACACAACCTCGTGTTCAACAATGTGTTTTTGTTAAAAACAGCAACATATTTACCCTGTCAGGTACAACTTGTGGAGGAGGCTCAGTTGTCGTAGTTGTCCGATTATTGCCTTGTGCATTTGCATTTCTTGCATTACGTGATCTAGAAAAAATATTTTTCATGAAGATATAAAAGTCTGTATATAGCAATTTACAGATAATTTAGAAAAAAAATTTTTTTTTTTTACTTGCGTCTTCCTTTCAGGCAAACATCCAAAGAATCCCTTTTAAACATGTACAGGAGCACCAGAATGAGAGCCACGAGAACAGGAACCACCAACAGGAAGAAGATCAGCAGGCCGTTCCTGAGGGAGTAATCTGTAAACAAAAAGCATCGAATTGGACTAAAAACGTTACAGTTGTGTTTTGTTTCTTAAACAGTTTCCAAACGGATTAAAAAAAAAAAAGCAATGCAACAAATGAGGTTATTGTAAGTGATAAAAAGTTGCAGAGAACAGAACCTAGATTAAAGACACGTCAACGTGTAGAACGACGAGCTCAAACTATTAAGACTTCTGCTTTAAGGCCTGCTAGTGTGATCTTAGGTCAAAACCTGTGGACACTTCAACACCAAATGTCTACAGTTATGGCAAAAGAAAGAGATTGATGAAGATATGAGTAACGTTATGTTTTAATACATATATTTCTTGTGCCATTACAGAAGGTCCTTTATGATTTAAATTGCACAGATGTCTACGGTATTACTTACCTATTTGAGCAGGACCGCTGTCAATACTGCCACCTGATCCTGCTCTGTCGCAGTAGGGTGGGCCCCAGCCGTCGAAGCAGTGACAATGTCCAAGATTATTGCAAACCTAAAGACAGAGCAAATGACAAGGTCACTTTTGTCTTAATTGGTTGCTAAATAACATCATAAAGGAAAAAAAAAAACATCTTTACTCCATGTCCATTGCAGGTGGTTTCAGCAGCACAAGTCAAGTTGGGCAGTAGAACCGAAGCGTTTACACACTGGAACTCCCAACAGGTCTGTAGAAGAAGAGAAAACTTATAACGCAAACAAAACTGCTCCTGTGTTTCGTTTTCACAACATAAATCAAACCATTAAAGATGTTCTCCACCCTTTATTATAGGCTTACCTTTCCTTTAGCACAAGGACTGCCAGGGTTAACATAGGCTGGATCAAGCACATCTGTGCCAAGGTTGAAGTCGGCGTTAACACAGCTGGAACCTTGAACGATTTCAATACTGATTTGGGCGCCGGCAGGATGATTATACAAATCCACGTTAGTGCACTGCACCTTTCCACACATGGCATTTCTGAAACACAAGTCAGTTTCTACAGTTAGTATGAGATCATACAAAAAGACATCCCAAGTTGAAACAAATCCCCGTTTTCCACAAAAATCATCAGATGCTTTTTACGAGAAATTATACTGTGGGTTTCAGAAAGAGTTCATATACTTTTCACTTTTGCAAATTTGATATGATGCAACCCGAGTCTGTTGAATATATTTCTCCCCACAATCATCTGCACTCAGTATCCCATACTGACAAAGTGAAACGAGATTTTAATAAATTTGTCATTTTGTAAAAAAAATTTAAAAAAACCACACAAAAAAACACCTTCACATAAATATTCAAGTGTTTTTATTAACACTTGAAATTTGCCTCCAATTTCTTTTAATTGCTACCGAGATGTGCTTACACATTAATTGGAGGTAACTATAATAAAACATTAATTAGAAAGGCAGACAACCAATTGAATTACAACGCATGTCAAAGTAAAAAACATGCGAGGAGGTCAAAGGAACTGAGCAGAGAGCTCAGAGACAGGATCGTTGCAAGGAGCAGATCTGCTGCAATGAAGGGTCCCTGGAGCTGAGTGGCCTTCTTGATTCTCAAATGGGAGAGGTTTGGCACATCCAGGACTCTTCCAAGAACTGATCACCTGACCTGACTGAGCAACTGAAGGAAAAGGGCTTTATGGACCCATCACTGACTGAGCTTCAGAGACCCTGAAAAAGACTAAAAGCTGCCAAAAATGCTTCGACTCAATACTAAGAAAGAGTCTGAATACTTATCTAAATGTAACATTTCAGTTTTTCCATATTAAGTAATGTAAAATATAAAATAAAACTCTGTTTTGACTTTGTCATTATGGGATACAAAGTGTAGATTATTGAGAAAACATTAATTTGAACAAATGTAGCATCAGGTTGCAACATAAAAGTGCAAAATCATGAATTTAAAAAACACTACACTAATTTACCTCTTCGGTAGCATTTATGTAATTTCACACAAATACATCCAATAAGTAAACATGCAAACCTTCATTTTATCTGCTGAAAAAAAAAAAACGTTAAAAAAAGTCTAATGTCCCTTGTAAATTTCACACTTTCAAGGTTTTTCAATCGATGTAGCACATAAATGATTAAACCCCAACACACTTACTCCACTTTACATTTGATGTAATCTCCATTGGGTTTGATTCCACAATTTCCAAACACATTTCCTTTAATATTTTCATACTGAAAGCAAATATCTGCTGCCTTTTTTGCAGAATCTGTAAAAAAAAAAAAGGAATTATATCAAAAGTTTTATATGTGAACCAGAAACAACACTTAGCACTTTCAGTCCTAGCTGAACATACTTGATCCAAACAGGCGTCTGCACTGGTAATCATACGTCCGGCAGCGGCCTTCATAGCAGTACGCAGAATAATTTCCACAGGGCAGTCCATCCATGAAATAGAAGTCATCGGGACAAAACGAACTGGTGCCGTTACAATACTCAGCAAGGTCACAAGTATCAGCAGAGTTTCTGCATGGTGTTCCAGCAACTTTGAGCTAAAAAATTTTATTAAACAATTTTTTAAAGCAATTTATCACCTGTTTTTTAGTGCAGACAAAAATCTATGAAATTCCAGGTGAAGTCTGACATTTTGCTGACCTGACACTTTTCACAGCAGGCTCCATGAGCACAATAAGACCCACGTGTGAGTTTACAGGTAGCGGCGTTACAGCACTCGTTCTTGCATTCCTGTATGAAATAAAAGTGAAAAAATCATGATGAATGCCACAAATATTTACTTCAGCCTACACATTTTAATTCTGAAACAGACACGTCTTTTACAAAATAGAACGAACAAACAGAACGTCTCCAGACTTCTTCAATCCCACATAAAACAAAGACAGACGGAGGATTTCATAACTGCAATAATCTTTTATTTCTGTTGAGATTTATCTCAGTTTTTGCCTGAGTTTAAACTAAAATCATTTTATGATAAAAAAAAAAAAAATGACAAAGAGTTAAAGCAGTTTGCTTTAAATGTTAAAAAAATGGTTTCACTTGCTGCTGAAGGCAGAAACATTTTTGCACACCTGATCTGCCTTTGTCTGAACTGTCAGGAAAATATCAGGTGACCCAGTGAACGGATTCAAACACAACTCTCAGGAAATAATCACTGGATGTACATTGATTATCTTTCGGAGTCAACGTGATTCCATCACAGCTAATAACCTTAGCTAGCACAAAAATGGCAACAATTCAGCCAGTTTTACTTATTAGAGTTAATTTTTATGTGTTAGAAGCTAAGAGTTATTAACAACACATGCACAGAGTGTAGAAACACATTGCAAGATCTCACATTGCACAAAATTGTGCTCAAATCATTTACAAAGTTTTGGCAAATGAGCTATAACTTCATCCCTTCTCATCACAAGCTGAACTAAAGAAATTGCATTTCCTGTGAAAATGCAGTGTGAATGCTTACTGCTAATTAACTTGCTTGAAAAACAGATGAAATTAGCTAAAAACATGTTGAAATGTAGATGAAAATGAAGAAGCCTAAGTTAGAAGAAAGTAGGAAGAACACATATTTGCTAAATTTGGTTTAAATAAGCAGAAATAAGCACAAAAATTAGTAAATTAGCTCTAAAAGCTGAAATAAGCAAAACATAACTGAAAGGTAGTTGAAAAGGTAGAAAGAGGATTAAATTACTAGAAGGAAGTGGAGAAAACACATTTTTGCTGAATTAGGCTGAAAAAAGCTTAAATAGTGCAAACTGAAATTTGCTGAAAAGGCTAAAATTAGCAGAAAGAAGCAGAAATTACCACAAAAAAACTTGAATTTATCTGAAAACGGCTTAAATTAGCTAAAAAATGCTAACAAAGTAGCTAAAAAGGTAGAGCAAGTTTCAATTAGAAGAAAGTATGAAGAACACCTATTTGCTCAATTAGGCTGAAAGAAGCAAAAATGAGCACAAAAAAGTGGAAATTATCTGAAAAAAGCTGAAATTAGCAAAAAAGACTAAAAAGTAGCTAAAATAGCAGAAAGAAGCTGAAATTAGCAGAAGTGGAGATTGCACATTTTTGCTGAATTAAGATGAAAAAGTCAATAAGTGCCAAAATGTGGAACTAGCTGAAAAAGCTTAAAACATGCATAAAAACAGCTTAATTGTAGCTTAACAAGCAGAAAAAGCTGAAATGCATAAAAAGCAGAAAGTAGCATAACAAGCTAAAATGAGCAGAAATGAGTTAGAAGAGGCACAAAAACGTTGTAGTTAGCAGAAAGAATCTGAAAGGAGCAAAAAAACTGCTGCAATTAGCTCAAAATTTCTTAAAATTTGCAGAAGGCTGAAAAAAGCTGAACCAGAACAAAATGTGAAAGGAGCAGTAAAAAACTGTAAATGGATCTAAAGATTTGAAGAATGTAAAATGAGCTCATTTTCTATGAGAAAAAAAAAAGTGGAAAAAAAGGCTAAATATTTCAAAAAGCTAAAGTTGCACCGATACCAAAAGTCATAGCACTCTTCTCCTGAATGAGCTGAACATTTTTGATTTCTTGAAATAGCACTAAGATTGTGGAACGAGAAATATGACAAAAAAAAAAAATGTACGGGAGATAAATGGATCACAATAGTGTGAATGCTTCATAAACGTTCACACTATTAAGTTCAGAAACTGTAAAGTATTTTTTAGGTTTAATTATAGGTAAAGTATAAAGTAGCCTTCAGTTTATGGTGCTTTTTGGTTTACATTTCAGAAACGCCTCCAGTGTCATGGATATTAATGATTGTCATGAGGACTGTTACAAATGTTGCCACTTGTGATAAAAGTAGAAAAATTTACTGTATTAAAACTGAACCCCCCCCCCACCACCACCACCCAAAAAAACAAAACAAAAAAACAAACAAACAAGAAGACTGCAGCTCTGTGTTCTTGTTGTTTTAAGCACTTCACCTCTGGTGTGCCACAGTCACATTCTTCTCCTCCATCCAGACGGCCGTTGCCACATACAGCCGTACCGATCACATTCGATGGGGAGGGTAGATTTCTCAGACAAACGCCTCCTCCACGGATAATTAGCGTCTCAAAGTCTCCCTCGCTGCACTGGCTGAACTGGGTGGAACCACTATAAAGAAGAAGGGATATTATAATTCAGAGTTGGTTCTGTATTAAATGTACAATCCCTGAAGAAGAAAAAAAATGATAGTTGATAGTATTTGCATTAGAAGTCCAAAACAAAATAACATTTTCTACCTAGCACCTCCTGACATGATGCAAGCTTTTCCATCACAGGTGCATTGAGTGCTGTCGTGATTCATGCCCATGTTATGGCCCATCTCATGAGCCACCACAGTGGAGAAAAAAGGCAAGTTGTCATTGCTGTACTGTAAAAACAAATTTAGTTCTTTAGATGCAAACATTCTCTGTAGTTTAAAATAACTAAATATATTGTCTGGTCTTAAACACATAACACACAGGTTAGCAAACACTTTCAGTATTAAGTTTGTAGTTTTCACTCTACTAAAGCATGTGATCCGTATCAAGTCTTACAGTAAGGCGAATGCAACCTCAGATGAACGCGACATATTACACTGCATCATTATTTATTTAACAGAAGCTAAAGGCAACATGCAAGAGCAGAGTGTGAAAAACAGAACGCGCAACAGAATTAGAAGTTTTAGAAGTCAGGAGGTGCAAATGCATTTTTTTTTTCTTTCCCCCCTTGAGCACAAGCAAGCGTGAGCTCCTCTATTAAAAGTAAAATATTTAGGCAGTTTGCCAGTGTGCACAATATAAGACAATCTTTGTTTCTTCCTATCAAAAACTGGGAAGGTTCATACTAGGGCTGCTTTCAAACTTGATATCCATAACTTTACAGTAAGAAATCGAATCCACAGGTAGTTAAAACATTCTCAACAATAGTCGACATTTGCAGAAGTAAACACTGCAACAGGTTCCTACAAGTTCAGCCCGTTCATTTCCCAGAAAAAAAAACAAGTTTATTTTCAGACTAACTGCTAGTGTTGGCATGTTAAATATTACAGCCCATGGCAGTATAGTTAGAAACTTTTTTACTTTTATGATTTTTTTTTGTTGAATCATGAACGCAAACATTGAGGAAATTTATATTTTACTTCCTTGTATGGCAACAGTCCCCTCAACCAACAGAATGAAGTATGAAGATTTGAACCAAACTGAAACATTGTCCAATTGATAAGAGTTTAACAGCTTTGCTAAGCATCATTTTCATTTGTATATTACTGTAATCTGCATACATTCAAAATCATTGCTCATAACTGGAAGATTACTGATGAACAAACTGAATAACAATGGCCCCAACACAGATCCTTGTGGCACTCCCTAAGGCCACCCAATGAACATGCACTGCCATTAATACAAACACATTAGGTATATTTTGAAAGATAAGATTTTTGCTAGCTAGGGCGGCACAGCGGCTCAGTTGATAGAGCTGCCACCTCTCAGCGAGCAGGTTGCCTGTTCAAATCCCGGCCAGGGGCCCTTCGGGGTGGAGTTTGCATGTTCTCTTCGTGCATGCGTGGGTGTTCTCCAGGTACTCCGGTTTCCTCCCACAGACCAAAAACATGTACGTTAGGCTGATTGGTAACTGCCAATAACTTCTGTTTTTGTTCATTTGAAGTTGTATTTACTTGTGGAGGATCTGACTTTTTTTAAATAAAAATTATAATTATTTAAACTGAAAAACAGTGCGCTTTCTTTTTACGACGATAAAATGCCATTTCTAAAAGATCACGCGGGCCAATGAATCTAAGGAATGAAAAACTTAAAGAAAGAACGAAGTCTTGTCACAGTAAGTACCAGTAAAAGGTATTCCAGTCTAACCTGCTTGACTGGTGTGTCATTCAGAACCTGTAACAATGAGCAGCACTTACAGAACTGCCTGATGAATAATGAATAAAGTATCTGTTTCTTTGTAAAAGCTCAAGCTGCTAAAGCATCATGGCGTTGTGTGGAGTTAAAGGTTAAAAAGGAGTCAAACGTACCACATTAATTCCTCCAGAAGAAGCTGCAGAGCAGACCGTGCCCACGAACGCCATGCCTAATACGCCACCTGGATATGAGCTGGTCCGACCACTGGCAAACAAGTTCAACAAAAGATAAATCTCTGCCTTGAAATTTTGAAACACTTGAGATAAGACTATCAGAAAATATTCTCTACTGCGCTGGACAGCAAAAAAAGAACGGCACACTTACACAATGAGCTGACCAATGTCGTTTCTGATTTTTGGTAACAGAGTGGACTTCCTCCACCCCACAAAGCTCCCCAGCACATCTCCAGCTGCACCATCTACAGAAAAAGGATTACTATCCTTGAAGATTTCCAGGCCCACCAGCACAATACGGATGTTCAGTGGCTTGTAATACTGAAAAAGAACAAAAAATGTGAGCAAATTTAGTTAAAGTTCGACACATCACATACAAATTTAAAGGTATATTCTTATATTTCATATTAGATGCATTTGAGTGAAACAACAGCACAAACAGTACATTTGTTTTTGCAAACTTAAAATCTCACCCCATCCAGCAGATTAGCCAATTCCACCATTTCGTCTCGTACTGCTTTCTCGTCTTTTTTCTTATACTGATACTGTTAATAGAATTCACAATATATAAAAAAAGAACATTCTAATTAACATTAATATTGACAGATGAAAGAATCACATTTGTAGTGAGAAAATTTAATTCTGTAAGGTATGATTGGTCTGGAGATTTAATAATAATTAATGATGTTTTGGATAACAACTAACAAACAGAGAAGCCTAGCTAGATTGCATCTTTTATCTAAAGTGATTTACGTTTTAAAACACAGACTAGAGGCAATGCTGAAGTAAGAATCTTGCCCAAAGTTGTTTAGACAAGTGAATGAGGAAGAGATAGAATCAGCAATTTCCTAGATATGCAAATAGCTTTGATTGATTATTAGTAGCGAGGAAAACTCTATTGTACATTTAGAATCACTTTCTTTTTAATACATGTATATTCTTAATAAGACATAACATAGTGTTTTCCTTGTAAACTGTTTTATGCATAAGATGCATGGTAAACGTTACTAGAACCGCCTTCTTCCACCTGTGTATCATCACTAAAATTAGAAACATCTTATCAAAAAGTGATGCAGAAAACTGGTTCATGCATTTGTCATGTCTAGACTGGACTATTGTAATGGTTTGTTACCTGGGTGTCCAAATACTTCTTTAAAAAGTCTTCAGCTGATCAAAATGCTGCTGCCAGAGTCTTAGCTGGAGTTAGTGGGAGAGATCATATCTCTCCAGTTTTAGTTTCCCTTCATTGACTCCCTGTCAAGTCCAGAATTGAATTCAAAATCTTACTTCTAACTTGCAAAGTTCTCAACAACCTAGCTCCATCTTTTATTACAGATCTTACTGTTCCATATTTTCCCAACAGAGCACTTCGCTCTCAGACTGCAGGCTTACTTGTGGTTCCTAGAGTTTCCAAAAGCAGAATGGGAGGAAGACCTTTCAGTTATCAGGCTTCTCTCTTGCTGAACCAACTTCCAAATTCTGTCCATAAGGCCGACACGTTGTCCAGTTTTCAGACTGGGCTTAAGACTTTCCTTTTTGATAAATCCTATCGTTAAGGTTGGCTTGTTATGCTGGTATAGGCTTAGACTAATGGAAGACAAATTGACCACATTTCTTAAAATTAATTGTTAAAATTTAACAGTTTTCATTTGATACTATTTTTATCTTAACGTGTGATTCTTGACCTGCCATTGTGTATCTGTTCCTCTCAAACCCTGCCGTTTGAAGCAGATGGCCACTTGTCCTGAGCCTGGTTCTGCTAAATGTTGCTTCCTCATGAGGTCTAAAAAAAGTTAAATCTGGTCCCCTGGACGTTCAAAAAACAAAACAAAACAAAAATGTAGAAACGTTTGCTTTGTTTTGTTTTTTGAATGTCCAGAGGACCAGATTTAACTTTTTTAGATTTTTCTACCTGGATTATTGAGCATGCATCAGGATATTCCTCATGAGGGTTTTTCCTTTCCACTGTTGCCTTCATGCTTGCTCAAGATGAGAGTCTGTGATGAAGCTAAACTCAAAGCAGTCTGCTCCTCAGATAAATCATGTTATTAACTTACTTTTTATGTATATCAATGTTTCTGTTCAGTGCCCTGAGATGACTTCTGTTCTGACTTTTGTGCTATATAAACAAAAACTGAATTGAATTGGTACAGAAACTTCCAACAGATTTATTTCATAAACAAGTACAATCTTCACCGAGATGCCTAACCAGACCAGACGAGTAAAGGAAGTAAGGGAAAACTGGGAAACTAAAAGCAAAAATCATGCAATCAAATCAAAATAAATACTTACTCTGAGATTATCAACAACCAGCGCCAACTCCACATAACTGGTCTGAGGTAAACTGCGTTTTCTCTGTTGAACCAACAAAAAGTTACAAATGAAAAACAAACAAAAAAAGTGGGGTCAGTAGGAACTGCATCCGTTTTCAACACAGTTGGTGAACACAGAAAATACCCTAACCCTCAAAGAAGTCATTGATTTGCCAGGCTCAAATGGTTCGTGTCGTGGCGTAGATGTCGCCTCGCTAACGACCCCGCAGGTAACGGGCTCAGACTGCGAGTCCTCCAGGAGGTACAGAAGATGTTCATTAGTGGCAGTCTGCGCCACAGGTTCAAGTCCGAACGTCTCATTTCCAAGGAAGATGACTCCTCTACAGAGAGCACAAACAAATATCGCTTTAAAGAAAATTAATTATTTATCAAAGCAAACCCACACAAAATAACACTAACAATATTTTTTAAATAATTTGCTCCACTTTGCTGTAGTTTTCAACTGGTCTTGAGCAAAAACTTTTATCCTGAAGATAGAGATTTTTTTTGCTTTTGTTGGGACGACAACCAAAACTTGCCACCCCTATAACCAAAAACAAAACAAAAATCAGAAATATATTCCAAGCTACTTAAAACTGACCAGATATATAAAAAGGCTGAAAAGTAAACTTTGCACAGAGGCTAGTATCCTCTTGTACCACCGTATTCTTTGTCACTAAAATAAGCAACTAAATATAATTTTTGCCTTAGATGTGGTATTTCCTTTTTGTTTTTAAATAATTACGAATTTCCTCAGTGTATTTAATAATTAAAAAAAAAAAAACTGTTGTTTTAAGGTTACTGCTTCTTTCAATTTGTAGACTTTAAAGTGAATGTGCTGTTTTAGTAAATAATATAAAATTACATGCAAAACACTTCATAAAACCCATCTCTAACTCAATTTAATGCTCAAGTAAGGAATTACGGCACAAACTACACTCAATGCAACACATTTAAAACAAGGAATTTGTTCACACCTGAGACCGGAGCATGTACTGAGAGCAACCATTGAATTTTCATATCCATCCACATTTCCGTGGTAATAACAATGCACCTGAGAACAGACAAATAAACCCAAACGTAAGAGTTGCTCTTTCAATTAGCACTGTTAAACAAAATTTTTTTTTTTTTTTTTTTAAAGAGCCACGATGAACTCACATGTAGTTTTGGATACAAAGAACTGTAGTTGCCACTGGCGTCACGTGAATACTGGATGAAATTTGGGTGCAGGAAGTCTCTGACAAAAAGTTAAAAAAGGCAATATTTAATCTTTAAACAAGAATGGACAGTGATGTCCCTGAGATGAATTACCTGTTTTGTTTTAGATGAAGAATGTGTCTTCTGTTGTTAATGTTGATCTCGTATGATATTCTGTCTTCATACTTTTAAATATGTAAAAAAAAAAAAAGAGATTCTTTAAGAACAAAACATTCAGTCAATAATACAATAAATAATACAAATAAAAGTGTATGTGTTTAAATGTTCTTGATTTTATATGTACAGCACTTTGTGGCAGCTGTGGTTGTTTTTAAAGGGCTTTATAAATAAAGTATTATTATTATTATAAATAAGAATAATTTCAAACCTTTTCAGATTGTGTCTGTCTGTTTATGCTCCTAGTCCACCTGTGAATCACCTGAGGCTTAACAATAGAATATCTTGACAATGTTGACCTAAACCCACTGAACTTTTCTGGGGAAAAAAAGAGGAAGAGATAAACAAACACAAAAGTACTGAAAAGTTTCACTTTGATTAACCACACACTCATAAATCACATACACCAAAAAGTAAATTATGTAGACAACATATTTACATTAAACCCAAACAAACTTTAAAATAATAAGCTGGAGCTAGTAACAAAACAAATCAAGTACAATTAAAGAACCCGTTTGTTGTTAACATGATTAAAAAACAAAAGGAAAATAAAACTTTCTGGTTCCCTCCATAAAAAACGCAACAGGTAACCTCACCGCTAAAAGCCTCACCTGTGCTTGCAGTCCCAGAAACACAGCAATAAAATAAAACAGCGAATGTAATATATTTTCTGACCATTATTATCGTTAAAATGTATAAAAAGTCTCGTGCAGTCAACATGTACTCAACTAGAGATGAGTTCAGGAAATACCCTTTTTTTTTCTCTTCTTTGTCAGGTGTGTTAATGGGCGTGGCTTAGAAAGGGAGCTAACTTTTGATTCATTTAATCCAGTTTAGACAAAGTATAAATTTTATTTTCTACTGAAATCTACTAACTATACTTTAAACATAGCACTCAAGTAAACGAATTTAGTAAATCTACATTCAACGTGGAAAATTTGTTGGTAGATTTTAATTGTTCGTTCAAATATCGCGTTGTTTCCATTTACATGACGTTATATGCCTGCGACGTTTCGGCGGCTGCGATGTTTACCTTGAAGGACTTTATGCTGCGCATGTCGACAACAAAACATTTTTAAAGCGACATTTCAATCATTTTATAATTAAAAACATTTATAAATTGTTCAATATTTTAAAAACTATGACTTTTAATTTTAGGCTAATTTTAACGGACCGGTGTTTCGCCGTGGTGGGTATACCCGTAACCCACTCTCTCCTCGGGAGCGCGCACAACAGCTGTACCCAAGGTCACATCAGTAATAAACGCATTTTTATACAAATGCATGATTGATGATTATTTTTATAATTGTTTGCTCTTTTTTATTTAAAAATTGGTCCCACTGCCTGAATCTGTTTCGTCTTGGAAACGACAGGAAAAACCAGAAGAGATGACGAGCCTTTCTAACACGGTAAAAAGAAAACCTGAAAGCATTTATTCTTGCCGTGAAGCTCAGATATAAAATAACACCCACACATGGTCGAAACTGAGTTTGTAGACGTTTTGAAAAGTTTTTTCCTCCTTCATCTTGCGCGCTCCCGAGAGGTGGGGCACACAT